ATTCCGCCAGGGCTTTCTGGCCCGTTCCCCACGACATCCTGAGGAGGAGGGGAAAACAACCCCTGGGGAAGGAGCCACAGCTGGGTTCATGGCCCTGTTGCCTGCGCCCTCCCTCCCCTGCCAGGCGCCCCAGACTTCTGCTTCTGGTCAACACCCAGCCTGGAGCTGGAAGTCTCTTCCTGCAGAGCTGCCTGGGGTGTGGGTGAGCTCTTGACCCTGGGCTCTCAGTACCTGTCCCTTGGCGTTAGGGTGGGAGGGAGGGGAGAGAGGGCGGAGAAGCAGCTGGCTCTCAGTGCTTCCTGTCGCCTCTGATTTTCCTGCTGCTCCCTTGGCAGGCAGGACAGAGATGCCACTGGTCACGTGCTGAGGCTGCCTTAGCTTCTGGCCCTGGCTGCTGCACTTCCAAGGAGCATCTTGGCAAAGATGAACCTCCATGTTCTGCCAGGAGGTGGACAAACACCTGGTTCTCATCGCCTCTCTTCTCCACGGCCCACAGTATGTGCTCAGGCACCAGCAATTCTGTTTTCCACCTTTGCATCCCCGGGCTAGAGCTGATGCCTCTCAACAGGGCAGCTGGGGTTTCAACTGAGCAACGAGGCAGAGATGTCCAGGGAGGCCTATGCTAGCTTCACTCAGGTTGCCATTTCTCCTAACTTAACTGCCATCACACTCTGGCTTCTTCCATGGGACGGTGCCCAAGCGGCAGAGGACTTTATCTAGCTTTTCGTCCCCAGCTGGGAGTCCTCCCCAGATGGCGTCAGCCATCCAAAAAGGGGAAATCACATTGCTGCTACTGTGGCATGGCGAAGGGCCCTTTGCTTCCTCTTGCCCTCCTCCCAAGCATTTCCCCTGGTCCTGTCTCCAGAGTTAGGCCCTGGGGAGGCCCCAGCCCATAGCCTGTGGTTGACCCTGTAGAATCTAGAAGCTTTTCAGTTCTGGTTTTCCATGTCCCCAATGTCATCTGTCAACCACAAACCAGGAAGACGGCAAAGACTGGCAGGCTGGTTGGTACTGACTGAGCAGCAGGGACTGGGCCTTCATTTGAAAAGTACACCCTGTCCAGTCGGTAATGCCTACTGAAGAAACTGAACTCAAGACAAAAGGTGATGTAAAGGCAGCTCACAATGGCTCGCCAGGTGTTTACTGCTGGGGTTTTCATATTTCATAGCACTGGAAAAGGAAACTTTATCCCAGTAAGCAGGATAAAGGAGAGACAGGCTCTGGTTAATGAAGAGATCCAGCTCAACCTGACTGTAGCCATCTTGGTTGTGACCACCATCTTGCATGCATGCCTGGTAAACTCTATCACACATTCTAATCCCTACAGGATAAACAAAGTTGTTAAGATAGTCAGCCAAGCATTTTGTGCTGGCCAGTGACGTTTGGACTGTTTCTTAACTGATATTTGACATGTTAATAGTTTTTGAGAAAGCCCAGGTACATTCCAGTGGATCAAAGCCACCATTGTCTAGCTTAGTATATAAACCCTTTTCTCCTGCCCTTGGGTGTGGGATGTGGGTCACCCAAGACACTGTCCATAAATACCTAATAAATCGCACTCTGTATGATCCTAGATTTATCCAACTCTTTCTTTGATCTTCTGACACCTTCTGTCTTTGGTGGCCAGTTCTCCTATTCTAGGTTTTCCCCAAAGAGGTTCAGTTGGCCTGAGGCTATGTCTGGGTGCTACCTAGAGCAGTTACTATGTGTTACAACTCTTTCTGAAATATGACAAAGGCCACCATGTACAGTGGTGTGTGTAATTCTTGTACAAGGACAGCTGAAGGTCAAGTAGGGGCTGAAACCCAGCCTGTGTTTTGCTTGGTCAGCTGGGTACCAATGGGATTGGAGTCCTGTTTTCTGTTTAAAAAGTATACTATGGGCTAGTTACGCTTTGCCATGGACTTTCAGTCATTTGATTCTGAACCTGGGCCTTCACCATCAAAAAAAAAAAGCAGGGGTTTAAGCAGGCTCTATGGTTCTAGTCTGCCAAATGACACAAATTTTGGCACAGTGTTCTCAGACATTTTCTTGGCATATTCAAGTCCTGGATGACTTAGAATGAAATTTCTATGGGAAGGAGACACTCCCATAGCACTGTCTCTACTGGGGAGGGCCAGACCCCTTCTGCATCCAAAGTAGCATAGCCCTCAAAGTTTCAATGAAACACTCAGACTACTTCTTAGGATCTCATATAATAGGGACACATCCACAGATGAACCCTCCATGTCATGGTACACTTTGAGACTTGGAAAGGACAATTTGTTCTTTCAGTTTTTCTCTTTTACCAAGAAAAGAAGGGGTATTGGTGTGTTCGGGGATGGGGGGTCATAGATCCAGATTCAGTCTTGACTGACTGACTGAGCTGTTTAACCACCTGGATCAACACCTTCCCCCCCACACCACCATTGATTAGTCCTAAATGAGTCAGCCTCGTGTCCTTGACCTGTGAGCTGCCTAGCTTCACTCTGCCTCTGTCCAATTATTATCCCTAAGATGTAGATGGTCTTCTTAAACATCTTTCCTGGCAACATGGGAATGGCATTAGCTAGCCCTTCATTTAGTTTAACAGCTTGCAGATAAAACATTTGTGCAAATTTTCTTTTAGAGAAGTTGAACACATTATATATAGCATATTCAGAGAATGCCTATCAAATTGCAAGACACCTAGTTGGTTGGTTATATTGGATTAGAACACTGGGGCAGTTGAGATCAAATTCTTAGGTTCCAGCCTTGAGTTGTATGAGAGATGACAATGTCCTACAGCCATGGTCCACATCCCCATACTTAGCTGTGTCTGTGGGGTTGCGGTGTTACCCCAAGAACACGGAAGTCCCTCTCCACCACTAGAACCCCAAAATATGAATACACCACTCATTATGGTCTCCTGTTCATAAAAGAGAAGCAGGGAATTAAGGACTATATTTTTAGAAGTTTGGGCCTTTTATCATATAAATGCCCCGAATCTCAGGAGCTTAGGGTATCTTTCTTCTCCAGCCCACCCTGACACCATCTGTGCTTCTCAGACTCTTGGAGGGAGGCTGGTGCTTTCTCGTTCTGCTTTGTTAACAGACTTTGGAGAACCACCGAGCCAACACTACCTCTGGGCTGAAGGAACATCAATAAACGCTCCTCATAGGACTTCATGGAGGCCATTCTTGCCTTTTCTGATACTCACTTCTCAGGAAAAGAAGCCTAAAGATGTTTGTGCATCTTGTCCAAGTACCAGGACTCCTCTCTTGACCTCAGCCCACACAGTCAACCTGAAGAGCACGGCTTTCCTGTCCAGAAACGTTCTGCTTTTCCTCTTCACAATGTACCTGAGAGTCCATGGTGCCCACAGTACATGCTCAGCTTGTCAACTACATCCCTGAGCATGCTCCAGACACTGCAGCCAGGCTTCAAAAGAGACAGACAGGTACCCACTACTTTCTATCAAGCCACTGTGGGGCAGAGAAGTCCCATCGACCTTGCCTTGATGGCTGTTGCACCTTCTTGGTGTGGGAGGCTGCATGGCCTTGGAAAACCATCCATGAGGACAGATAAGGGACCAGCAGACCTTGCATTCTGCATGTTCTGATTTCTCATGAGGAAAGACCACAGACAGGAAAAGAACAAAGAAGAGAAGGGATGAGCACCCATATTTTAATTACCGTCTACCAGAATTATTGTGAGTCTATATCTAGTGAATTCAAAATAAGGTTTAAATGCAGTTCAAAGGCATACAGCTATGACAGGCAAATGAGTAGGTTGCTTTCAACCTGGGATTCTTAGAATCTAAGTTAAAAGGATGAAATAAGGATACTAATCATATACAGTAGTTATGTTTTACAAGGACTTTCCTCTTAGAGGCGGGGAAACAAGACAAATTAGCTTCAGTGGGTTTGCACTCTTTGGGAAGGGAAATGTGGCTGGTCCCATGTACAGAATCCCCGCTCCCTGACTGCCATCTTGTTTTTTTTTTCTAGTTTGATGTTAATGGTGCAGTCTGGGTACCATGAACTCAGTGGCTTGTTTCTGATGAGTCAGCGAATGAGCAGGATTGAATACTTCCTGTTCACCAAGTCCTGTGCACACATCCTGCCCAACATGGAAAGGGGAGATGGGTCTGCACTGTTCAACAGACCATGGTATAGAATCCCCACCATACAACGCAGCAAGACCCCTCATCGACTCTTTTCATCTGTTACCATGGGTTCTCTGCTGGGGAGCTGTGTGGATCTCTACCTAAGCTAGATATGCATAAGGGAAGGCCACTTTTCTACAGGGCAGTGAACCTCTAGCCTGTTTTTACTTACTGTCAGAATCAGGGCCTGGGGAGCTTCACAGGGCCTTTCCCTGGAAAACTACCAGGGACAATGCAGGGACTTGGCTACTGCCCTCCTCTCCTAGTCACGCTATGCAAATGAGGTTGACAGGGGGCTGCAAGGGATACTGGAACTCATGCAGAGGCCACTAAGACACACACCAGCTAGATCACATTGCCAGAACCCATGCAGCATGGCCACTGTCTGCACACAGCGAAAGCCACCTACAACAGCAACATCAGCTTGCGACCCACACCAGCGAGACTGTCAGAGTTCACAGAGGGAAATTTGGATTTTTTTTTTAAATGTGTGATGGTTCTGAGCCAATTTGTTTCATAGAACGTTCGATGGCCTTCTCCCTGGGCTGCTGCAGAAGATGCACAAACCGCGCAGTCCCAAGAGGAGTGGGGCCCTTCCTCCTCAAAGCCCTGAACAGCAATCACACACCCAGGCTGAGGCTGGGCGGTCGGCTGTGCACCTTCTGCAGAGGGAGCTGCCTGCTCTTTCACAAATCCATCCCTGGAAGAGAAGCTGCAGACACTCGCGAAAGAAAAGGGGTGAGTTGAGGGGAAAGCATTGGAGTCCCTCCCACCCCAAAGACGACGACAACCAAGAAAAGACAAATTAAAAAAAAGTTAAAAAAAACCAAAATCAAAACCAGAACGCTGAGGGAAGAAAACCCACTCCACTTACCACACTGCGAGTGAACTTTTCTAGGGAAGTTCTACGACCTTGCTCACTTTCTGGCTTTAGGGGAGGAAAAAAAAAAAAGTAGGGAGAAAATACAGAAAAAAAAAAAAGTCTTCAGCTTTACACGTGGTTTCCAAACAGCAGCAGCCACAGCTAAAGAACAAAAACCAAAGCCAAATGGGGCGAAAAACGGGAAAAGAGAAGCAGCCAAAGCTGTTGGCAGAGTCGATGGGAGGGACAGGAAAGAAGCCTAGGAGCAACCATGCTGCCTCCTTGCAGCAGTGGGGAGAGGGGAATTTGCTTCCCCAGGGGACTGGAATCCTGCTGTGGGGCTGGGGCCAGGATCCCAGGGACCTGGAGCCCTGGCTTTGCACAGAGTGGCAGTTGCTCCTCTTGAGCCTCTTGCTCACTGCTTCCCCTGGCCACTCCCACGAGCAGGAGCCTTGGGTGCTTGTGGCCAGGAGGCTGGGGCTCGAAGTGGTGACACAGAGCAGACTAGCTCTGAGGGCTGGTGAAGTGTGTGTGTGTGGGGGTGGGGTGGGGGGTGGGGGTGTGCTGAGGGAAGGTCAAGAAGCAGGTGAAATCATCAACTCGTCTGACTCTGGGTCAGGATCGTTCTCTCTTGCGATTTTTCTGATCAAAGGAAAGTTGGCTAACTTCAGTGACATCCTAATGACCCTCCTGCTCATCCTTAGAACAGCAGGGTTTATTCATGTCCTTAGCATTTTCAAAGGGCCTGGGACCTCAGAAGACAATACCATAAGGAGTGTTCTGGACAGAAAATGCTCCTCTGTGTACCCAGGCAGACGATGCTTTCAAGGTACACTCTCCAAGTGCTACTGGAGGCAGGGACCCCCCTGGGGAACTCTTAGCTGAGGTTCCCAGGAAGGGGCAAGAGAAGCCAAAGTCTGTGAACATTCTCCCGAGCCTCGCTGCTCTCTACCACAGGAGGAGAGGTGTGGGGTGTGCCTGACTTTCTCCCCATGTTTCCTACCGGGAAGAGTAAAATTCTACCCCAGCTACCTGCTGGTTTATGCTAGAGCCCGGTTCCAGGGTCCTGAGCCCAAGGCTGGGAAATGCGGACCGTACACACTCTTCAGTGGACACGCACCTACACCCAGCACGTAACTGAAACCGGGGAGCTGAGGAAGCAGGCAGGTGCCTGTGGGTGTGCAGGATGTACTGAAAGCAGAGCGTGAGGGGCAGGCCAAGGCAGCCACCTGTCAGGGTGGATAAAGTCGGAGGGCTTCCTTGGCAGCCGTGCCCTGCCTGCTCAGCCAGTGGCTGGAAGACAGATGCGAGGTTGCAGAAAGAAAGGGAAAAAAGAAAGGAAAAAAACCCCACAAGTGACATGCCATCAGAGTTGGGCTGGGCTTTCTTCTCCTACGAGGAACTGAAGGACCCACGCCTGGCTCTGGGAACCATACCAGGACTCTACTCTGGGGATGGCAAAGCTCAGCTTTGCCACCAAGGGTAGCCCAGGTGACACACATTGAGCTCAAGTCAGCTGATCTGTATTATGTACCTATCGTTCTGTGCCCTGGCCACCGAGCTGTTACAGAGGGCAGCTGATGGCCTGACTTCCTTGGTTCCTCTGCCTTGAACAAACACCCCTGAGCTACCCTGGAACCCCATCATCATGGGTATTTGATTGTCCTGGAGTAGCCCTCAAAACCCCATTCACCTGCCCCTACCCCCACCCCTTAAGAACCTGGTTCTTCAGAGTAACCCCCCCTTTTTAATTTTTTTTTTCCAAATATCAGAAAAGAGGAAGAACTAGGGAAGAAGGATCAAGAGGCAATGCCTCCAGACTCTATCAGGGTTACTCTCAGCAGAAACAGGAGGCCAATTTGTACCCTTTCTCGTCTGGAGGTGGTGACTCTCACATACCTATCATGACCTGAAGGTTAATATCACACCGTGAGCCCACCTTTGAAACCTGAAGATCCTCTAGACCTCCTTGAAGGTGCTGAGTTACAAATCAGATCCATGTCTGGAGGCTCTCAGGAAGAAAGGGAAGGAAAGGTAGGTTTTGTCACTGCTTCAGGAAACTCTTCCTCAATTTTTGGAAGGGCATTGGCATCTGTAAGGGCTTTCTGCCTTAAGAATATCCCTTAATTCAAGGGCTGGGAGGGCAATAGTAATGAACTTCTAGTGTCCCATTTCTTGGGAAGGCTGTTAGTCCTTTCCCTACTGCTGGTGACTTCCTCGGAGTTTTCCTCGGGTAGGGAGGATCTGCAAGCTCAGGCAGATGGCTCACTTCCTGTTTTAGGCACATTCTCCCTTTGTGATTGCACCTGCAGGGAGATCGGACTGCCTCTGACTTCTCCCCTAGATGTACAGACAGACCCCACGGGTCAAACTGCTAGAGAGTTTTAGAATGTCCCCAAATTGTGATCCGTTTAGGTGACTTGGGCCTCAACAAATAAGAAAAACTTACTTTGACCTTCTCCCAGGAGATTTGGACTTGAGATACCAAAAGTCTCCATCACTGTTCTCTTTCAGTTCTTAAACAAATAGTCATGTGTGGTGTCAGCCCCCTCCAGCAGAGCCCCTTCACTGACATCCTTCAGCACGGGAGGAAGCCAAAGGCCAGGTTTTGCATTTAGTGACATGGGGTGGGGGTGGGGGGGGAGTGGGAGACAGTCGAGCTGGGTTTCTGACATTCTGGACATTCTGGAAGTCCTGTTCTCTTTCTCAGGCTATCAGGGCTCTTCGGAGAATTACGGAGGGTCAGGAGAGCTGGATATAAATGCTCCCCTAGACTCTGGAGTTATGTGGTACCAACCGGATACACAGAGAGGATCTTGGCACATGAGGTTGATGGAACACAGAGAAGGGGTGTGTGACCGAAGGCAGCCTGACAGAGTCTGTGGATGGACAGCCACACATGTGGGGACTGGGGTTGGGAGGATGGGAGGGGGCAAGACAGAGATGCATGTGCTCCTACGTGACATGGCATGGAAATTTGGGACTTGGTGCGAGTTGAGCCACACTTAACCACACATGGGCCTTAGCTCAGAGCTGGAAAGCCCAGAGGGTGGGCAGGCATTCTAGAATCATGAGCCCTGTCTCTTGCCTCCCCTTTCCCAGCCCTGTTGCCCTCCTTGCTCTTCCTTTCTTCTTCCCAGAAACCCAACTGAGTTCATCCCTGCTGTCGTCCTGACCCCCTGCAGGCTGAGGGTGCCTGGGTTGGCCCCCAGATCCATGCCTCCAAGGGCCACAGGGCGCCATGACTTCACCTAGATGGAACAGGAGGAAGGGGCTGGGATGCAGTTACTTCTTGGTTGAAAGAACAGGGAAACACTGTGGGGCAGGTGAGGGCAAAGAAGGGCGTGTAGAGGAGGCACCAATACCCAGGATGACGTCAGATGCCAGGCGGCCTCCCCTAAACTGACCAGGCAGGTCTTCTACTCATGGGGGGGCTGCCCCAATCCCTGCCTCACACTCACCTCTAGGCCAGTCAGGGAGGGACAGTCTGTGGGGAGGGAGCTGGACTTTGCAGTAAAGGGCTCTCTTTGATGTTGTAAGGGATTTTCTGGGGTCACTGTCACCCAGGCATCCCGTGCTGAGCTCCTGTGGCATTGGTATTTGGGCATACTTCCCTCCTTGTGGGCAAACCATGCAGAGAGAGAGAGATGATGGGGACAGGGAGGAGGGGTGCTACATCCTGGAGCTTGGACAAGGGCTGGGGTGGTGACGATCCTAACTGTTTTCCATTGAAGGGGAGCAGATAGAGAAGAGAAGGAAGGAAAGAAAAATAAATAAATAAAAACCCCAGGGATGATATTCTTATTTCACACCAGCAGCAAGCAGCAGGCAAGAGTTGATAGTGCTCAGGCAGGGCAAGCCTGTCCTTCCCAGAGATACCTTCTTCCTGGCCAGCAGCATGTCCTGGTAAGCATTGGACCGGAGGAAGCGGGCATAACTGTCACTTTTCATCAGCTTGTAGATATGCTCCTGGGAGAGGAGGGAGGCAGGGAGACACAAGAAAGAACTGTCAATCAACACTAAAAGCAAATTATAACCCAACTGATCACTTGTTTAGGGCAAGAAACTAAAGAACCTAGGTATGTTGGACAAACCTAAGGAAACTTTGTAACATTTCCTCCCTTTCTACACACCTACTTAAAAGCACCCAAAATAAGTAAATATAAGTAACAAATAAATTCGTGAGTTATATTTTTCTCTTAGAGCAAAAGATCCTTAAGGATCATGTCCCAAAGGATTTGTAGTGGAGTCTGGGTGTCATGTTGTGGTGTGTGATGATTAAAACCACAGGCACAGCAAGAAGAGGAAATAAACTATAGAAACACCCAACAGACTTGAAAGAACTGCAAAAGGGGTTACGATGAGTGAAAAAGCCAATCCCCAGGTTATATACTATATGACCCCAAATAGAATTTGTCTTAAAATGACAAATTATAGAAATCGAGACTAGATTAATGGTTGTAAGAGGGGAAGGGAAGAAAGAGTGGTTATATAAGGCGACAGGAGGGATCTTTGCTGTTGATGGGTGGATCTCACATCTTATACATGTGATAACATTGTGCAGAATTAAATACACACGTGGATCTATAAGTACAAGTAAAACTGGGGAATCTAAATAATGTCAGAGAATTGCAGCCAGGTCAATGTCATGGCTATGGAAGAAGTCTTCATAGGGTAACTGGATAAATGGTACATGTCTACATTGTTTCTCACAAGTGCATGTGTGTCTCTAAATAAAAGAAATAAAAGAAATAAAAATAGATAAAAAAATGTGTGTCTCTAAATTAAAAGTTTAATTAAAATAAATGCCTCCCCCAGGCAATGATGCAATTGGGTAAGTTTGTACATATTATGGCCATTCTCTTGCCCTGGAAGGGAGCTCTTGGCAACCAGAACTTGGGTCATGTGGGCTCATATTCCAGGCCTGAGGGTGGTATCCAGGAGGAGCAGGTGGGGTGGTATGGTACTTCTCCTGGGCTCCCAGAGACATCTACATTCTGGCCTTGGCAGTAAATTTGACCTGTCCTCCAACTCAATCCTATAGGTGCCTGGTTCTTGCTAGCAGATTTATTCTCGTAAAGGACAGGAAAATCCTGGCCCTTGAAAATAGAGAACTTGTTGGTAGGAAAAAAAGGATTATTTATCCATTGAAGTGGAATTTAGTTCAGCTGCACGGGAAAACTGGATTGTCCCACGAGAGGACCTGTTAGGAGGAAGGGTGGGCCTTCTCTAGGGAGGGTGCGATTGTTAGCAGTAGGCCTAGTAGAAGAAGCATCTCTCCCATGGTGCTCGCTGTTCAGCCTGGGAAGTTGGGCAAAGGCCCCGGTGCTCAGGAGGAATGCAGAACTGGTGAGTGAGGAGTGAGTACCCATCTGAGAGGCAGGACTGGTGATTAGGGACCTCTTCCTTGGCTCTTCTTCCCAGAGGAGGGTATAGAAAGAAAAGGCTAAGATCTTCCACCAGTGTTCTCAAAGGTTTGGCTGGAGGAAGCTGGAGCCATGGTCAAGGTCTCTCTTCCCCGCTCAAAAGAAAGTAAAAGGATAATAGCCAAGATATGGAGTGGACTTGGGCTGATCTATCAGGGGCTGAGTGGAGAAAGGAACTGTGGCATCTGTACAGATGTGTATTTATATTCTGTTATAAACATTTAACAGAATACTATTCAGTCTTAAAAGAGAAGGAAATCTTGTCATGCACCATAACATGAATGAACCATAGCGCAATACATTAGTGAAGGAAGCCAGGCACAGGAAGACAAATATGGCAAGAGCGCACTTATCTGTGAATCCAAAGTAATCAAAGTCACAAAGCAGATAATAGGATGGTGGTTGCCAAGGCTGATGGGGGTCATGAGGATTGGGGGAAATTTGGTCAAAGGATACAGCATTTCTGCTTGACAGGAGGAATAGGTTCAAGGTATCTAATGCACATCATGATAACTATACTTCTTAACAACATACTGTATGTTGATTTTTAAGCATTCTTAGCAAAAAAGAAAAAAGCATTTGAGGCAATACATATATTAAATAGCTTGATCTACCTGTACACACGTGTGTGTACATACATGCCCTGTCCACACCATAGATATATTGTATTTTTTTTTTTGCTACTTAAAATTTAAACTCAAAGTGAAAGCAGAAAGCAAGCAATGTCTTGGTCCCATGAGGGGCCCTTGGCACCCCATCTTTAATTGAATCCCAAAGAGTCCCATCTGGGACCAGCTTCATTGTTCTGAAGATGCTCTCATATTTTTAAAAGCAGGGTGGTGACCCTTCGAGCAGGCTGTACTCTGCTCGAAGGAGCATGAGCATCTTGGCTCCCCCATCCCTGACAGGCTCAAAGTCCTGACTGAGGGGCGTCATTGGTCTTTGCTTTCATTTGTTGTTTCTTTACATTGTTCTAACTTTTAAATCTTAGGTACAAATGTTAACCCAGAGTTAAAATGACTCATTGTCTCCTTCTTGTGTCAGGCATCGCTTCTGTCTGGCTGACAGACAGGTGGCTCCTGAGTCATCTGGAAAGGCCTGTCCTAACATTTGGACCCTCTCCAAACTCCTCTTCAGAACGATAGGTGCTTGCTCCTTGTTCTGTCCTCTCAGAGGGCTCTCAATCCCCAATACATCTCACAATACCCCTCTGACTCCCCAAGGGGAGTAAGGAAACCTCTCCTAGCCTGACCCTTCTTGCCTTGGAAACATATTTCACCCCTGACACAGCTAATTCCTATAGCCTCACTGTGGGCAGGAAGAGTCGGGTCCCCTAAAAGAAAGACCTTGTTCATTGAAATAGAGCAGGATAAAGCAAATGCCTGAACATTTAAACACAGCAACGTTCAGCAAATATTTAGTGAGCATCTACTAGGTGCCAGGCACTGAGATTACAGTCTGAACAAGACAAACAGGACTTCTGTCACATCACCACATTCTATAGGCCAAGCAGACTTGGCACAGTGGTGTACACAGCCAATTGGACCTAATGGCTGCAAAGAAGATCAAGTACAGGTTCAGGAATGGATGTAACTAGGGACCGTCAACACTGTCAGAGGCAGGGAATGGCGGTGGATCAACCAGAAAACTCCTTTTCCAGGTAGGAAGATGTGAGCACAGCAGAGCAATATGTCTCCCAATTCTCTGGGAACTGGGAGAGAAAGGTTTGGTGGTACAGCTTTACAGTTTGAGCAATCAGAGCAGGAAGGATACCGTAAGGACATAAGGAGAGAAGAGCAGTGGGGAGTGGGGTCCCCACTCCAGGGTGGGTTGGTGGAGTCCAAGGAGCAGTTTGAGTCACTGTCACCTTCTCCATGTCATATGGCTGACTCTGAAGGCAGCTACCAAGGCAAGGATGGTGTGTGGAGAAAGCAGGAAGTAAGAGCCCCATCTTTTGGAGGGTGGGTACCGTGAGTTGGTCTCATCCCACCAACCCCATTGCCAGCCCTTCAAAACCATGAGTCTCCAGTCACCCTCAAAGGAACAAAACCAAAGCAATAAGAGCAGATCCGAGTGAGGCTCAGGTCTGACAGAAGCAGAACCTGAGAAGCTCAGCAGATCTCCCATGCCCCCTGCAGGGCCTGGGCTCCAGCCTCCCTTTCCCACAGCCTAGGGATTCCTGATTCTCCTCTGTCCAGCCCCTCCTCCCCCAAGCAAAGAATCGCAGCCTTTGATGTCCCCGGTTATGGAACTGTGCTCCTTCCTCCTTGCCAGCTTTGTCTAGGAAACACAAAGACAGTAAACAAGGGGGTGGGTGAGCAGAGAGCTGAGATTTTTCTGGGAATGAGAATTAAGATCAGACTCAGGGTCTTTGGCCATTTCCCAAATGCAATGAGTCGATCACTGCCAGGGACAGCAAGTGTACAAAGCTCTTGGCAGTGACCTCTACTGATTTATGAGGGGTTCTGGTTTGTTTCCCTGTTCTGCAGACAACCAGTCTTAAGGGAAATGTATACCCAGAATCTGCAAAAGGGCATGAGAGGCACTGGCAAGACCGGCCACACCCCTGCTGCAGGGAATGCCTAAGGGGCTAGAGAAAAAGAAGTTTTCTCTTTTCTTCTTCTGTTTTTTCTTGTCTTCTTTTGCCTTCTTCTTCCCTTCCTTCTTTCCTTTCCCCACACCTTTCTCTGTCTGCCCCTACTTTGAGATGATCCAGTTTGACTATAAATAAGCAAAGGTACCAGAGGTCACGCCTGCTTCTGGACCGGTGGACAGACTGCCCCTCTAGGGAGGGGAGTGTGGTTCTCCATATGTTGAGACACCAGTGCTGTAAGGCTCTAATTCACACCAAATGCCTTAGCCACACTTCTTAGTGGCGGAAGGAAATCACACCCCTGTACCGGGTGACAGTCGCAGTTCAGGGATGCCACCCTGATGAGACACACTACCTCCATTTTCCCTTTTTGGGATGAACTGCTCCGATAATGGGGTGTTCTGTTGCCTGCGATGCTACAGCAGAGGGAAAAACCAGTGGGATCCGTAGGGTCTGGGGTGCACGTGGGAGCTGGCGTGAGCGAGGGGTACACGCTGTCTCGACACCGCACCTGCTACCAATCAATATTTTGCTGGGAGAGTCCTCATTTGGAAATCTCCTTTCTTTTTAGACAAAACACAGCGACTCTCACAAGAGGTGGGGAAGGTAACCGGACAAATGCACAGGGCCCCGGGGCCACAAGCACACGGGTGCAGCTGAGCCGGTGATAGGACCCTTAGGTCCTCCCCTCTGCAGGTTCCTAGAACAGCCAAGATCTCCTTCCTCGGCTTTAGAACACGCGCCCCCCTCCCCGCACCCCCAGCAGGGAACCACTCAGCCAGAGCAGCGCATGGCAGCTGAGAGCCCTTCTTGTGATTTTCAAGTGTCCTATTTTTCTTTTTGCAGGTGCCTGTGTCTCATGGTTGCCGTCCATCCCTAAGCTTCCCAGAATAGCATCCAGATTGGGGGCCCTCGGGTGCCTCATAGTCAGTGGGAAGGGAGCGAGGGAC